CATCTGTTTGTTGTCTAGTTTTAGGATGGTAGCTATCCCTGTTATCATTACTTTGGTCTTCTTTATATTTAACCTTGGTCCCACTTTTTTCACTCTGTTCCTTGAGTTTGATTACTAGAGCTTGCAGATCATTTGAATTTTCAGCTGACATAATGTCATCAACATAGAATAGATTATTGATGTTTCTTCTGATGTTTTTTTTTGGACAACCACAGTTATTTTCTTATAATCCATTTTACCTTCATATCTATCTATAGGCTTGTGTGCTTTCAAATTAGTCTTGTCTCCTAACAACTGTGTAGACAAGTCACTATAGTTTTGATGGCAACATTTTTTGAAGTAGTTTCCCATTGTCTTCTGCCTAGGTTGACTTAATGCCTATGGTAAAACTCACAGTCTCCTGAATATTAGTCCAATGCCTTTAACCACTACATCATATTCCACACATAAATTGAATAAATAAGGAGACAGTCTTGTCTCACTGTCTTGCCAGCCTTCCAGTCTGTTTCATACAGTGTCTGACCTCTTGTAGCTTTCTTGTAGCTATAGATTTTACTTCAAGACAATGAGATGTTGTGGGATTCCTATTTTCCTAAGGACATTCCACAGCTTGACATTCTCATGATAGTGCTGGAGAATTACAGGAATCAGTTCCATTTTTAATAATATAATTTGTAAGCAAATCCCTCTGTTTTTTGCTTATATACTGTATGTAAACTCACATACTGTTATTCATGTAACATTTTATAAAGGTAGATTACATTACACATTACACAGATTTTGAACATATTTTTGGCTGAAAACTGCCATTTTTTTAATTTGAATCTATAATAGTAGGGATGAAATATCCACACAGGATGGTATATGGTAGTGTTTCTCAACCTCAGCAACTTTCAGATGTGTAGGCTTCCACTCTCAGAATTCTGGGAGGCTAATTAATTCTGGAATGGTGTGGAGTCCTCCACATCTTAAAATTGCTAAGACTGACAAGCACCGGTCTAGATCCTAGCATTCTTTTGTACTATTCCCTATTTTTCACATTTAAAAGTCTATGTACACAAACCATGTATTTAAGGGATGTGTGTTTGTGTGTTGCTAGATTAGGAACAAGAAATCTTCCATCTAGAGAAAGGCTATGCTTTGTGTGTGAGCACATATGTGGGTGTATGCATAATTCTGTATTTATTTATTTTTTATCATATTTATGTAGTGTATATTGATGGTGGTGACCCTTTGAGAGCTGTATGCAATGAAATTTCATTTTAATGTATGCCGATTAGTGTACATTCAAAGTGACAATAAAGTTATTATTCTATTCATATGTGTATTAAATGATTATGGGGCACATGATAATGCAGTGGGAGAGAGGCCATATTATTAAAGCAAACAACTGGATTTTCTTTTGTTTTTCTATTTGAAAGTTTCACTACTTAAGCAACCCTTTTAAATGGCAGAAAAGTCCTAGCATTAACAAATTGCTGCTAAATTTACTGTAAAATATTAGCCTGAGAGCTTATCTTTCCTAAGGTTGTGTTTCATCTTCACCCGTTTAAAAAACAATGCAAAATACAGTATCTAGTATGTCACAAAATGCTCATTTATTTCTTCTTACTTGTCCTTTAGAAATGTTCTACAGCAGGGGTGTCAAACTGCCGGCCCGCGGAACGGATGCATCACGCCAAAACCGCGCCCACCCCATTGCCGGCAATGGGGAAAAAGGCGCGATACGTCGCGACATGTCACGTGACGTTGCAAGTTTGACACCCCTGGTCTAAAGAGTTTAATCATTGATTGTAGGTCAATGTGTTTAAATTATTTTAACAATTAAAAATGTCTGCTTTGCTTCTTTTATTTTGTTCTAGTGAAAATACATTGGTATTTATATATATATATTTTAAAAAAGCTCATCTTAAGCAGCTGTTTGGAACTATCTGTATTTCTAAAATCATTAGGTAGCTTTGAATGTGACAGCTGATTATTTCAGAGCAAATGAGTAACTAATGATGTCTCCTGTGCATATTTGGTTATAAATAAACCCTACTGTGTTCTGTGAGGTTAGTTCTGTTGTATGGGCTTAGGATTTATTGTTCTGATGAGTGTATGTTCTCTTGCTGTGAGTCAACTAAGAACTCTGTTATAGGGTTGCGTATAAAAAAGAATAAGCATTAAGAACAGTAGTATAGTAAACAATTTATAATGATTATTTAGTAAAGTCATTGGTTTCTCATTCAAGTCAAATCTTGTCACTCTTTAGGTATTAAAGTTATATTAGCCTCCTTCCAGCTATCGGGAATCTTTCCTTTCTATAAAATAATATTCATTGTTTGTTGTAAGGGATGGAAAAGCTCATCTTCAAAACATTTGTATTAAGAGGCTGACAGGCTCTCTCTGGACCAGATAGCTTTCCTGCTTTCTTGTAACTTTTTGATAGCTTCTATGTATTGGTGCTATATTGAATTTATGTGCCCATGTAAGCACAAATTGAACTTTCTGCTGTCTTTCCAGCAAAAACAGACTACCGTAATCCATTTGGGTAAATTGAGGTTTATTTATAAAAAGATTGGCAGACTGGCAAGTTAGCAGGAACCACATCATGTTTCTTGGGGGGGGGGGGAGGCTCAAGAATGTCATTTGTTATTTTTGCACTTTTAAACCAACACATCTGATTCATTTTTCCTAGTTTAGTAGGTAGGTTAGAGAACTTTGTCAGATTTTGCTGCTCAAAATCCTCCAACATTTGTGCATATTTTTTTTTAAAAAATATTTATTTTACTACTTATTAATTAATCTAGTTTATATGGCCATCTAACTGGACAGTACAAGACAGTACATCTATTTAAGCACACATATTTTAAATGTTGCTTTTTGTTAAGATGGTCAAGGGCAATGATAATGACATATCATTATATGTCAGTTTAAACAGTTCCAGTTCATTGAGAAAAATGAGCTGGCAGAATTCTATTGCAGTGCAGAAAAGTCATCCTTTGGTAGATTGTTGCTACCATCCAACCACTCACTTCTAATCATACTCTTAAGAGCTTGGTAAGCTCAGAAAATGGCTTGCCCCCTATAAGAACAGAAATATTTTGTGATAATTATACTTAATCTCTTTCTCTTCCTCCCTCACATTTCACTGTCAGGAAGAAATTTTTGGAATGTGTCTATAAATAAGCTTGATGCTTCTTCCAATAAATCTTCCCAGATAAGTGGTAGGTTATAGGTTAAATGCTATTTTACATTTAAGAATTTATCATTATAATGAAGAATTTAAGTCTTCGTACCCTGTGAGCTGGCAGAAATTTAATTAAGTTATGTAAAGACAATGCTATTTGCTGAGCATTCATATCACAGCGCAGCAAGCTATGGAATAGCTTGTACCAGTAGCTAATATAATCCTCCAATCTACATCCATGTGCCCATGATGCATGCAAGAGATATAATTGAAGCAAGGGACCCCCACATGAATGATGCAGCAGCCTTAGATCCCCAAATTTAGTACTTAACTCTCTGAAATTGCTTCTCTTAAAGTAGCACATATTGTACCAAAATGGCCTATCCAAATCCAAGAGGGTGTTACCTAAATCATATTGGGATGATGGTGTTGATGCTTATCAAATGGAAGCTATAGTAAAGCATTTGAAGAAGGGCTATATTCACATGTAGTATCTAAAACAATGGTCGGTAACCTTAAACACTCAAAGAGCCACAGAAAAGAAAACACTGGGAGCTGTAAAATTCGCGTGGGGGGAGCTTGATTGAAGAGTTTAATTAAAAAGAAATAGAGGCTGCTGTGCATGAGTTCTCTCTCTCTCTCTCTTTCTTTCTCTCTCTCTCTCTCTCTCTCTCTCTCTCTCTCTCTCTCTCTCTCTCTCTCTCTCTCTCTCTCTCTCTCTCTCTCTCTCTCTCTCTCTCTCTCTCTCTCTCTCCCTTTCCTTCTCTCCCTCCCTCCCTCTCCCCCTCTCTCCCCCTCTCTGTCTTTCTCTCCCTCTCCCTCTCTTTCTCTCTCCCTCTTTCTCTCCCTCTCTCTCTCTCCTATCCCTCTCTTTCTCTCCCTCTCTCTCTTTCTCTCTCTCCCTCTCCCTCTCTCTCTCTTTCTCTCTTTCCTCTCTTTCTCTCCCTCCCTCTCTCTCCCTCTCTCTCTCTTTCTCTCTCTCCCCCTCTCTCTTTCTCTCTCTCTCCCTCTCTCTTTCCTCTCTCTCTCTCTCCCTCTCTCGCTTTCTCTCTCTCTTTCCTCTCTCTCTCTTCCTCTCTCTTTCTCTTTCCTCTCTCTCTCTCTCTCTCTCTTTCTCTCTCTTTCCTCTCTCCCCCCCTCTCTCTCCCTCTCTCTGATCTTTTGCTCACCTGGCAAGCTGGCTTCACGCTGTTCTCGGACAAGCTGACACACATTCTGATTGAGCTGGGTCTCTCCTGCCCTTGGTCTGCCAGTCCTCTTCCCCCACTCAGTGTGTGTGTGTGTGTGTGTGTGTGTGTGTGTGTGTGAGAGAGAGAGAGAGAGAGAGAGAGAGAGAGAGAGATTCTGCTTGCTGCTTTCTGCTGCTTCCTGCTTCCTACACAGATGCAACAAAGGCAGGAGCCCTGCTCAATAAGCTTGTCAGCTTGTTGGAGAACAGCGTGAGGCCACTCTCTTTTTTACACACACACACACACACACACACACACACACACACACACACTCTGAGAGAGTGTGTGAGAGAGAGAGAGACAGAGAGAGAGACAAAGAGAGAGAGACAAAGAGAGAGAGAGAGAGAAGGGAAGCACAAGTGCCTCTCTCTCTCTCTCTCTCTCTCTCTCTCTCTCTCTCTCTCTCTCTCTCTCTCTCTCTCTCTCTCTCTCTCTCTCTCTCTCTCCAAATGGTGGAGGAGGCTGGGAGCCGCAGGAGAAGGCTCAAAGAGCCACCTGTGATCTAAAGAGTTAGATAATATTTTCTACCTGTCAGATTGTGTGCTTCACAGATGGTGGTAACTCTAACCTTAATTCATTCACTTTTTCTTTTCCTTCAGGGCGAACTCTGCTAGAAAAGCTCTCCAATCAGCAGGAGAATGCACCCCAAGAAGAAGCAGAGAAGCTTTGTTCTTGGATCATTGCAATGGGTCTTTTGCTCCCCTTCAGTGACTGCTTCAGAGAGCCAAGTAGTCAGAATGCACAACAAAGTGCACCTACGTTTGATGTAAGCCATAGCTTAAACTCTTGTTTCTATTTAACAGTGATTTTATGACAATTTGCTCTTTTTCACATTTCCTTAAGTAACTCTTAAGATATTTATTTTGGGTTGTCATTTAAATGTCTATAAGATACCATATTCTTTTAATTTTTATTTTGTACCATGTACTTCTACTTGAAACCAATGTAGTTTTTTTCAGCACAAATAGTCCTTGAGTCACAACTGTAATTGAGCCTGAAATTAGAGTTGTAAGTTGTTATTATTTCATGTTGAGACATCATGCAATCAGACCTGATTTTTTGACGTTTTTATAGCAGTCTTTAAGCAAATGCCACAATAGTTAAGCAAGTGCTGTGATTATTAAGCAAATCTATTATGAATAATGGGTGTTTTTTGCAAAAAACCAGAAGTAAACACCAGACACTAGCAAAAAATGTCACAGATCATGGTTACATAACTGCAGGATGTAACAAACAATCAGAAAAGGTGACTCAGTTGCCAAGTAGCCCAAAATGCAATTACGGATATGTGTGTCTGTGCAGCTGTTGCAAATTTGGAAATGGAGCCTAAAGAGCTCTGGGGAGATCCATTCTATCTTCAAATGTTCACTAAGTGACTAGACAAAAGTTGAGGACCAACTGTATATTAATGTATACTAATATATATTATTGATTGATTGATTGATTAATTAGATATGGCATCAAGCAGGGGTCAACTTTACCAATCACAAAGATAGGTTTTCTCCAGGAGGATCTGCTCCCAAGCTTTCCAAGAAGTTAGGTCTTTGTATAATGTATCTGAAGTAGGATAATTTTAGCCTAGTCATTTGTTCCTTAAATGAGAATACAATTATCCATTTGTTTGTTTTCTTGATTATCCATGGTATGGTTGGCAGTTTTCTCCAACAGCAGCATTCAAAAGCTTCAATGCTGTTTCTATTCTGCTTCTTCAGAGTCCAATTTCCATTTCCATAAAGTATCACAAGGAAAATTGTTGCCTGCACAATTTTGATCT